ATGGTGAGGTTATGAGGTATTGAGAGTTTCGATTAAAGAATGGTTCCTCCCTGGTAAGCGATCTTCGTCCGCTTTTTCTTACATGCAATTGTTAACACTGATCTTCGTCGCCCATGTTGAGGAACTCACGCCCACAAATAACCAGCAAACAAGACCGAGTTGCCTCTGTGCAGAGAGTAAAACAGTTTTTTCTCTGAGGGAACTGTGAACACCTTCAATATGTTCCTAAATTCAGCTTACCCTTGCACGTAGTTGATATCGATGTGCTCATACCAGCGGAATCAAAATAATATCTACCATGATCAGCGCGCTTGGATGCTGTTCGTTCATTATTTATATAGCAGTGAAAGCGTATCCGTTCTGCTTAACAGATATGACTGTAGCGACGTAGGGATGGATCACAGTAGCCATCTACAGTCACTTTCCCAAACAAACTTTCGGTAGGTTTCTAAATACCTATGAAACCAACAAAGTCCCATATTTTTGATCTGGCCGTTGTTCGATAAACTGGCGCCATGGTAGTTAAAATGTTAACTTCTTCGGTAACGCCCTTTCAGTGACACATTTCATTTTCAATATTTTGTAAACCTTACAGCGTACACTATATCAACCAAGGCTCATTACTACCGGTCTTATGATCGTCATAGCGGTACTCTAATTTAAACCGCGACATCCGTTACTTGCAATGACACGTCAAGCTCAATGCTTCATTCAAACGAATGTCACAATTTGGGCAGTGTGGCTATGCCACGCATCTAACGCTATGATCATCCTCACATTGAAGTGGATCACTTTCAATATATGTATTTCAATTTGCTCAGCATATGGTCAGAAGTTCCCTTTCGTCTTGCTTTTGGGCCGCCATTCTCAGTTAAAGATATAGACTGCATGCTATAAGAAATTTATTAACCTTTGTTTATGGATTATTACCGATAGTGGCCGCCACGGTCTTCCACAAGATTTCTGTAACCAAACGTAAGTTTCATATTTATTCCTTCATCAGAATCTAGGTTAACCTGCCTTGATCAGCATCTCTAATTTGTTAGTTTCACCTGATAACAAATTTTCACCTTTTCCAAAGGCAACTTAGATCAACACGATATTCACTTATTTTGATTTTGCTACTGTAGCTATCGTTGTAACACACCGATTAAATCACAGACGTTTACAAATTTGGAAGATAGTCATACTGTAGCAAATGAAAACATCAGACAGGATAGAACACGTGAATTAAGCAGTAACCAATTACAGGGAATCAAACAGAAAACGGTATTATAAACTAAAGAACATGAACAGTTGTTTCTTTACACCTTCAGAGCCTCTGAAAGTTGGAGTTTGGGCAGAGATGAAGGATCATCGATGTAGCTCTCTAAAACATTAAGTGTTACCTGTGCTCTCTTTCGGCGAATCCATAACATTTATTATCAAATGTACCAGTTTATGACGATTTGCAGTGGTCATACGTATATTCTCAAACAGTGTTTCATGAACAGTAGAATCATCCTGGCTAAGTGTGTATCGCTTCATTTCAGCGAGACTTCCATGGATCATTTTCTGAGGATGCAAAGTTGTATGCAGGCGGAGTAGCAGCGACTATTCCGGAAGGATAAGTGCAAAGCGATAATTTGCATTATAAGGAAAAAGTATATTATGTTGCCGCTTTTCATAATAAGCGACTAATCGATATTCTTGAAAGTATGTCGAAAAATCAACACCATTTCGAAGCTGTTCGGTTGACTTGAAGTGTCTGCTAAAATTTTTATGACGTCCAGATTTTTTGAGCGTACTGAAGAGACATTAATTATAAATATGACAGAGGGAGATTGACAGTGGTTTAGAGGTAATTGCACATGAATTTCGAGCTAGAAAGTGTAGGTATTCGAGGAGGGTCGATCGAACGGTGGAGGCTAAACTTTTCCTACCTGATAATTCCCTAAAGCAAGAAATCAACGTTGCGCCTCGCTGCATCCAATTGAGAAAAGGGTTACATGCTTTGACCTGCGTAGAATACAGATAATATGGCGTTATTGTTTGATCATGCTAGACCTTGCGAAAACGATGGTTTAATGCGTGAGCATCAAGCCGTTATTCGCCTTGATCTACCTAATCGCCGACCAGACCTGTTCAAGATGTCACCCGTAAATTTAAAAATTTTAAAAAACTGCCGCTGTTCTTTTTTTTTGCAGAATTCGAGTCTGATTTCATCTTCTCAGTCGAAAGCAACGAATAGAAAATACACTAATCATCGGAAGAATCCCAACCGCAGTGATGATGATTCTAGCTCTTCCAAGAAAGGTGAAGACTGAAAACCGATATCTCCCTTTACTTGTATGCAATAATGATATAACTGAAATCCGAGCAATTGTGTGGGACAGAAATAAAATGGTATATTTTTATGAAAGAAGATATCTTTAAATTCAATGCATATCGATATGAAGAAGGCTCAGAGTCTAAGACTATATCCTGAGCTATATCCTGAGACTCGAAGCCTCTTCCATTGCCAATCGTCCTCGTTGTCAATCTTATGATTTCAAAGAAACCGCAACCATACATTGTTTCTGTCCAATGATGAATGAAAATTCTGGATAAATTCAATTACTTTTCAGATTTATTCATTTTAATTAAAACGCTATCCGGCGATGCTAAAAGAATTACCTTAAAACGAGATGAAACGGAATTAATCCCGCTTAACTTAACATTCGCCTCCTCTGTCTCTCCGCCCCCCCCCAAAAAAAATGAAGAGAGTGACGCAGAAATTGAAGTTCAACCTACCTGCGACTATAAGGGGCTACGAAGGTTTGCGAATCTGCGAAGGTCTTCAAGTCTGTCTCACTCTATTCTCATGCATGATCATAAAGGCTGCCCTCGAGAGTTTCCCATGCCACCAGACGTACGGCATTCCGAGGGGCTCTCCGGTGAGTGTTGTTTTAGCTGATCTTAACATGGACCACCTGAAGATGAAAGCCCTCAAGAAATGCTCACCAGAATTCCGACCACTGTTCTATGTCTGATTCGTTGACGACATTTTCTTTTTATTTCAACGAAATGAGGACGAACTGAAAAGGTTGGAAAGTTTCATGAATTACATGAACGGATAGGGTAAATATCGCTGAATAGGCTTTACTATTGAAATGGAAGTTAACCGTTCTATATCCTTCCTGGACGTTCTGGTGAAATGGGCGTCATCAAAAATTTCCATGCGAATTTCATACTACGAATATCAGTGATTTTCATTTTCATGATTCATGATAGTATCGTGGCGACTGAGCGATGTCGCTAAATCAGGAGTCCAAGTCAATAGAATCTTTGGTAATCATCTTTCATTTACTTCCAACGTTATTACTCGCTCAAAAGCTGCTTATGAGCAGAATTTAAGACTTTCATCATAAGGATCAATTTGAAAATTTGCTTCTTCATCCAGTGATTCTATGGTGACAATTCCGTAAGGTTGTTAAATCAGCATGACCAATCGCGAAGTTAAATTGGCGGAATTTTCGTTGGTATGTATCTGTATCCTTTATGACTGATTTAACGTTGCATATCAGTAAACAGTTCCCTAACAGAATAATTTGTAAAAGCATTGAATTTTTAAGTTTCATTTAGCTATTGCCCTGTTGATAACGCCGGGTTATTATGAATCAGTGCACAGGCACTTAGTTGCCAGTTGAATGCATGTAACTTAGTGATGGATGTCGATGTAAGGTACTCTGTTGAACCATCATTCATTCATGAATAGATTGTGGAACTTATGAATTTAAAAATTTCATGCCATTTTATGATTTCGCATTTGTCAGGTCGGTAAGTCGCTGGACTGTCATTTAGCTGACAATTGGGGTCTCGGCCCTTCGTAGACATCTATTTCAATCCCTTGTTTGTTTCATTTAGTCACATTACTTGTCAATGAGTAGTTTTCTATGAACACACTGTGAAACTTAGGTCAAATATTCGGATTTTCTACAACCTCATCAAACAGCTAATGGGTTGCAGTCACTGCGATTTCAACACTGCTAATATTATGCGCATGTTACACTTTTCACGGACACCGGGCCTGCGAGTCATAGA